AAGGCATGCAACCAACATTACTATTTAACTATAATAGGTATAGTTAAGGATTACTACTCATTACTACTATGGCCAAGACAACTACCAGAGTCAGCACAGTTATGAGTCAATACATGCTAAATGCTATACAAAGAGAATACTAAATACTATACAAAGAGAATACTATATGCTATACAAGAGAACACTCTATACATTATACCAGAAAGTACATTATACGACATACGAGAGAATATACTAAAATAGAATGTGACATACTACATCTCGATACGACACTTCATTGTGCTATCACCGTGTAACCAGAGTCTCCTGAAGGGAGAGCGGGCATTATGTGTATAGATCTATACGGGACAGACACTCCCACATCCCGACTGCTAGCTACAGTCCGAGCCAACTAGGCCCAGAGGTGACAAAATGTCACCATACTACGTGTGACCTGGAGGGTCATCAGTTATTCGATCGTCAATCAGCATGGTTACATACGAGTTCACATTTCGACCTTTAATTAACACATTAAGAATTAAAGGCAAAACAGACTCCCCGAGGTGTATTGTACATTTAATACTACCTGGAGTCTGCATTTTTCATTACATAAAGCCGACAGTAACACTGCTGGGGTAAAACATTATTTTCCCAATTTCTGTATATGAATGAAGTCTAAAACTATATTTTCATAATAATAGTTTCACTGGGAAAAACTCTGCATTTATGAAAGAACAAATATACAAATAATTGAGTCTCGGTAGAAGGCTACTTTGTACTGGAAAACATAGGGTTTTCTAGGGAGTATACTATTTTCAAACATTGAAACCAGTTATTATACTACATTGTTGTAAACATTTTTATATAAGCAATGACACTAAATACTTATGAACTCACCAGCTCTATGCTGATACTCGCTTTCAAAATTACTTGTATTCTCAGGTCATCAGTAGACAGGTACAGATGCAGATTTTGAGAAGAGGGAGCATATACAAGACTCCTATTTATTTTGATTATACTTTTGGTGTCTAACAAACTGTACAGAACACGCTTGTATTACAATTATTATATTAATGCAATGGATGTTGTTGCTTGTCTTTACTATTATGCATTGTTATGATACTGTACATGACGTCCTCCACCCCAGAACGTATTACACCGTTCTCGGTTTTGGGGTGTGACACGGGTACAACACCAGTGGTTAGATCTCCTTATCGTCTGGCTACATCAGAAATGCAAGAACTATGGATTCAACTCCAAGAACTTCTTGACAAAGGCTTTATCCGGCCAAGTTTCTCTCCACGAGGAGCTCTGATTTAGTTGTCACATAGAAGGATGGATCATTCAGGATATACATCGACTATCGAGAGCTGACCAAACTCGCCATCAAGAACCTAATGGGTTTTGAGCACTACAACATACCTATGGTGTACATGCAACCCTAATGCTATGGATCTAGGTTTTTCTCAAGTTATCATGCAATACTAATCATCTAATGCATGAACCCTAATCTAGCATACAATTTCGAGATTTACAACATAAAACAAGTTAGATGAATACCTCTTTGATGTAGCTTGTAGATCTTGACCTTTCAAGAGCTTAGTACCTCAAGTGTGACACCTCTAATAACTCACAAACACCAAAAGCTATGGAGGATTATGAGAGAGAGGTGAGGAACACTAAAACCGGCTATGGTTTCTTTCTTAGAAGCATAGGGCCGATTTTAGGAGTGCTAGGGGTTCCTTATATAGCTGAGCTTATAGGGATTTAGTCAAAAACCTAATCTGATTGATTAGGCCTTAAGTAGTCTGGTAGATCCTTCCAGAAGACCTCCTTGGACGAAATCTATGTGGGATTCACATAGAATTTCTTCCACCTCTTCTTAAGGCTCCACAAGCCAACTTTTTAATTATCATATAATTGCAAAATCAGTCCCTTTAATTTAATCAGTCTCTTTTTGATCACTAAATTAATTCTTGATCAATACTAATTAAATAATATGATTTCTCAATTAATATATTATTCCTATAATATATTAATAAATCAAAATTAACCTCTTTTCACATAATTCATCCTATCAAATTTCTATGGTGAAGGCAACCCAAAAGGAGCATGCTACCATCGGTTCAAGTACATACCAATTATAGTTATGGGCTTAGACACCTAATCCAACAGTCTCCCACTTGGATAAGTCTAATAACTATAACTGCCAATGCAACTTCAAAATCCGATTAGCAATCGTAGCTCTCAAAAAGTCGTTGTCGAACTCTGACCTAGTCAATGACGCGTCCTTTAGATAAGGGATCATACAGTTCTCTGTTCTTCAAGATATCATGCGGAAAATTACATGGAACATAGTCGTACTTATTGTCTAGCAGTTTGTTTCCCGATTTTGGATTTGTTTTGGCATAGAACTTAATTGAACACATCAATTTTAGTCTTGACCGGGCCCATCACATAAGTCAACACCAAATCATCGAGGGGACCAAGATATCGCTTTTAATTCTCCTAGGATAAAAGGAAAATATAAACTTTGACTTATATGCTTGTACTATTTACTCATTAACTCATACACAACAATGCATTTTATAACATCAAGTTACTGATGTGTTTACACATTATCAATGCACAACCAACTTGTAAAAAACAACTCATATATATCGGTTTAAAGACTATATGACATTATCGTCTCACAATCACTTGTTATAAATTCCATGAAGTGATTCATATGAGCGTGAGTTAAATCTAATACTCAAATCTTATTTCAAGAGCACTCATAAACGTTGCAGCAAACTTGTGCTATGTCTAAACGCTTAGACAATCTATAAACCAATTCATGAAAGTCTAGCCTCATTACCTACTTCCAAAGTATGATCGACTGTGGATAATTTGAATAATCCTATTATTCTGGAAGTCAAAACATGCAAATGTGAAACAATAGTAAACAATTGACACAAAATACTAACTTTACTCATAAATAACACTCCTTTATTCAATCATCAAATGTCAATTACATTTTATCTATTACAAGTTTATAATTAACTATCTAATCACTAAAAATAATATCGTCCTTCGACCCAATACTCCTAGCATGTTGCAAGTGCTTAACCCTACTCAGTCCCTTAGTAAGGGGATCTGTTGGGTTCTCCTCTGACGATACCCTCTCTACTACGAGGAGTACCTCTTCTACTCGATGTCTGATGAAGTGGTATTTTCTATCGATGTGCCTGGATCTCCCATGATGTCACACCTCCAAACCGGAACGACGGAAACGTCCGGGGGTGGATGACTTCATGTATAGTATCACAACAAATGTAAAATAGCAATCAAAGCAACAACAACCATTATATTGATAATAAAGTGTTTACATTGTGTCCAAAACAGTACTTGATTAACATTATAACTATAGCAAAAGATAAGACGTGATGCTACTATGCTCCGTCTTCGTAACGCCTGTGAGAGTACATGTCTACTAATTTCCTGAGAATACAAGTGGTTTGAAAAAGTATCAACATTTAAGTTGGTGAGTTCATAAGCATTTTTGTTTGAAAAGATATATTATTTGTTTCTTTGAATATGTTCGTGTGTTCCTCCAGAAAATCCTATATTTTCTTAATAAGAATGTGACCATACAAGTTCCTTCTGTGATCACTTAGTTTATACATGTTATATATCATCAAGATCGGGCGGACAGTCGATTATGTGATTCTACCTTAAGTCCACATCCAAACAAAGAAAAGGAAGTAAGGCGGAAATCACACATCCCCCGGTCTTTTAGTTATTCATTATTTATAACTCTGGTGTATAAGCTAAGGAACCATAGAATTAACAATCAAGAGTCATTTATGTTATACTAGTTTGTAACTAAGTGTTGAACCTTTTGTAATATGTTCCTAAATTTCTTCTGTAATCACCTAGTTTATACATGTTATATATAAATAAGATTGGACGGACAGTCGATTGTGTAATTCTACCTTAAGTCCACATCCAAACAAGGAAAATGAAGTAAGACGGAAATCACACCTTCCACTATCTATTGGCTCTTCATTATATATAACTCGGATGTATAAACTAAGGAATCATAAATCATCAAATTTAGGATCCTTTGGGTTATACTGGTTTGTTTGTAAAATGATAATGTCTATCCCAAAAAATCCTATATTTTCCATAAAACTGAATTATAGCTTTAAACGTTCCAAGATCAAAAGTACAAATATAATTGTCATACTTAATTTAGTAATACGTAGTTTTATTCGTAAGTAAAATTAGCTGAAGATGTGTTTGCTCTGTAAACTAGATGCAATGTTAATACCACCCTATGATTTCTTAGTACATACATGTTATATATATATATATATATATATATATATATATATATATATATATAATCAATATCGGACGGACAATCGATTGTGGGATTCTACTTTAAGTCCACATCCAAACAATGAAAGGGAAGTAAGGCGGAAATAACACCTTCCACTGTCTATCGGTCCTTCATTATATATAACCCAAACGTATATCCCAATAAATCACAAAGTTATTACCCCCTTAAGACCGTCTAAAAAGTATATTACTACGTAAATGTGTCGTTGATTTCTCCATGTGAGTTCTTATAATTAGGGGTGGGAGAAAAAACGAAAACCGAATAACCGAACCAAACCAAACGATGTTTGGTTTATTTAGTTTTTGGTTAATTTGGTTTGGTTAACTGAATACGTATAATTTTATTCGGTTTGGTTTTGGTTAAATTTTTAAAAATTTGGTTAAACCGAATAAACCGAATAATTTTTAAATTAATATATTTTTATTATATATATAATTAATATTTATTACTTATTTCATACATTAAATACCTAAATTATTTACAAAACTTATTAATTAGTGTAAAACTAGTCAATTTGCAATTTATGGTCAATTGTACTTTTTAGAATCGTCCTTGTTTGTATGTTCACAACCACAGGCTACCGCCTAGACTTTTTTTTTTCTCTTTATTAACTTCAAATCAAAGAAATCTAGCCAAGCTACAGATTAAGTCATTCGGCCATGCCTTTTCATCTTTACCTCCATGCTGATGCGACTTCTACCTACTGGACCATACATCTTCATCTCTACCACCATTACTATCAGATCTCGAATTTCAGTTTAGATATTGCACCACACCAAATTTTCGTCGATTTCAAAATTCCTCACTTCTTCTGCTTTCTGGTTTACGATTTCAAGTTTCAAGCCTTCAAAACAGCAAGTGTATACGATTTCTGGAACAAGAAGATACCAAAATTCTGATGCTAAAAATTAATTTGTGTTTTTCTTTAAGTTCACAAAGGTCTCCTGTTATACCCTAATCTAGTAATCATTTTTTTTTCAGAATCTCTATGATGTCTGGTATTGAATCCAATATTGAAGATGAGATGGCCGGGGAGGATGTAGAGGTGGTCGATCTTGAAAGCAACAACAATGAAGAACAAAACAATTTACAACCACAAGTTAAACGAAGAGCGACCAAAAAAAGAGCAAATGTTTGGCGTCAATTCGATGATTTCATAGATGATACTGGTGTTGAAAAGAGCAAATGCAAACATTGTGGCACCGCATACTCTACTTCGACAGCAAATGGTACAAGTACTGTTCGAACTCATTTAGGAAAATGTGTTATTTATCAGGCAAAATTGAGCAGTGATCAAACACAAATTGCATTTCAAAGTGTTGGTGATGAAAAAAAATGCTGGCATGGAAATTTAACCAACAGGGATGCATTGGCTCACATGATCATTGTAGATGAGCTCCCTTTTAATTTTGTGGAGGGTAAAGGATTTAGGTATTATTCGACTGTGTCTCAACCACTGTTTCATATTCCATGTAGAGCTACTGTCACTAAGGATGTGTATCAGATGTTCCTTGATAAAAAGAAAGAAGTTCATGATATACTTAAAACAAACATAGGTAGGATATGTCTCACTACTGATGGTTGGACTTCAATGCAAAAAATAAGTTATATGAGTCTTACTGCTCACTTTATTGATAATGAATGGAAGTTAAGGAAAAAAGTATTAAACTTTTCCCTCTTAGCAAGTCACCGAGGGGTTGAGATTGGGAAAGCAATAGAGACCCATTTGTTGGAATGGGGAATTGATAATGTTTTGACAATCTCTGTTGACAATGCTAGTTCTAACGATGTCGCGATTGACTACTTGAAAAAAATATTTGCGAATTGGGACAAGTGTGTCTTGAAAGGAAAATGTACTCACATACGATGTGTAGCCCACATTTTAAATTTAGTTGTGCATGATGACATTGGCTTTGTAAGTCAATCGGTTAACAATGTTAGAGGTGCTGTTAAGTGGGTTCGGTAATCTTCATCAAGAATAGATCATTTCAAAAAAATATGCAGAAATGGACAAATGTGGTAGAACGAAAAGTTTGGTATTAGATGTCCCAACAAGGTGGAATTCCACCTATTTGATGTTAGAAACAACGTGTTTGTATGAAAGGGCTTTTAATAGATATGATCGTGAGGATGTGCATTTTGGTGATGATCTTCAAAAGGTGGGATTAAGAGTGCCGACAACACTTGATTGGGAAAATGCAAGAAAGTTAGCTCGGTTTCTAAAACAGTTTTACGAAGTTACTTTAAAGGTATCCGAGACACTTTATGTGACATCACACACTCTTATCGATGATATAGTCACAATTCTTGTGTTATTGAAAGATTGTATCACTGATACTAATGATGAGGGTCTTTCTAAGATGGCAAAAATAATGAAAGACAAATTTGACAAGTACTTTGGCGATATAAAAAAAAACGAACATGTTATTATATATTGCTTCGGTTCTTGATCCAAGGAACAAACTTTTTTACATGAGTATATTACTTAATGATGTATATGGCCAAGTGGAGGGGGAGAAAATGAAAAAAGTTGTAGAGGATGCTCTCGAAGAATTATATCATGAATATGTGAGAATTCATGATCAAAGTTCTTCAACCACATCTTCTACTTCTTCATCAGTCTTGGGGACGCGTTCTGCATATGATGATACAAGTTCAAAATCCACCATAAGAAATAAATTGAGGGAGAAGTTGAAAATGGAAATGAGTGGAACAATGGATTCCAAGAGCGAGTTAGAGAAGTTTTTGAAAGAAGATTTTGAAGAAGATTCCGATAAGTTTGATATCCTGTTATGGTGGAAGGTAAATAGTCCACAATTTCCCATATTATCTTTGATGGCTAGAGACTTGTTGGCAATTCCCGTCTCACCAGTGGCTTCTGAATCAGTGTTTAGTACAAGTGGGAGAGTATTAGACCCATTTAGGAGTTCTTTAACTTCTACTATTGTTGAAGCCTTAATATGTACTCAAGATTGGTTGCGTATAAGTTCAAAACAAGAAGTTGAGGAAGATTGGGAACAAATACAAGAAATTGATGAATGTACTTTTGCATATATTTTTTTAGTTTAAACTTATAATCTTGCATTATTAACTTTTTCTTTATTGATTGTAGAACTAAAAAAATGCAGTGTCTCTAAAAAAGTTCAAAGATGATCGGAATGAAGGCGCAAATGTGCAATGTATAAGGTCTACATCTAAAACTAATCTTGTAGTTTTTGATAACTTTAAATTTATTTAAGTTGTATGTGCAGGATTACAGGTTTTTGCCATTGGCTCACTACATGTTTTGGTGCTTAACTGGAGTGAAATGCAAAAGGGCACCTTATGTTTTTTGGCTTTTGCAACTCTTGTTTTGTTATTGTTAATGTCATTATGTTTGAACTTAAAACATATTAGCTTTTGCAACTTTTGTTTCTTTTATTCTTTTACAGAACCATAAGCGGGACTGGGAGGAAGCGATTACTCGAACCAACTCAGGCCTGTCTAACTTCCTGGTATTTAAACTAAATTTTATTATATGGTTTGTGTTTGTCGGTTGTTTCTATGAAGGCATGGGCCTTCCTTGGTGTCTAAACTGTTACTGATATTTCTTGAAACTAGACTTTAGTTTGGAATAAAGTTCACCCAAAGCAGCTTAGAGGAGGTTATATGTATATCTTTTTACCGTTATTGCTTTCAATTGTTAATTATCTATGCTTTTATTTTATAATCTTTATCTGTTAAATGGTAATTAATTGTTTTTTCAACTACAGGTAGTAACTTAAACAAAAATGAAATTGTACTCTAATGAGTCAACTGATGATAAAATTAATTTAATATATTAAGTAAGAATTTGATACTAACCTTTTGTGGGTAAAAGGGCTTTTAAGACAATTATTTTATTATTTCGACTCGAACAATCAACTGTTTCTGTTGATTTTGGGTTGTTTTAGCAGGATGATAAAGACAAGGACCATAGAAAAACAATGAGATTAAGCTTCTTAAGAAGCATTCGAGAGTACCTGGTAAGAAATAAAGAACTTATTTTGTAATGATTAAGAAGGAATTTCACAAAAACCTATAATATAATCTAAATAAAGTAAAAAAAACTCATTTAACTTCTTATATGTAAGTGGTATTTAATCAAGTCTATAATTAAATCAAGAATTACGAGTTTTAATACTTAACTCTACTAAAATACTATATGTAGATATTTTTTTATCTACTCATAAGTCAACCATAAAGATTGTACCTACTGTAGATTTCAAAACTAACAGTGTTCATGCATTCTAAATTTTTTTAAGTAATTCGTTAATTATAACCACTAGGGTGTAAGTGAGCCGAGCTACTCGTGAGCTACTCGGGATCGACTCGTTAAAAGCTCGACTCGAGATTGAATTAAACGAGCCTGAGCCTAAATATGAGGCTCGTTTATTAAACGAGCTCAAGCCGAGCTTCAATTAATGGGCTCGCAAGCCTAAACGAGCATATATATATATATATATATATATATATATATATATATAATTCCCTCATGTCTCTCTAAATACTCTCTTTCCGATTCTCTTAGCATATCTCTTACATTCCTAGTTCTTTCAAACGCTTCATATTATATCCCTTATACAAAAAAAAAAAAAGAGAGAGAGCTGCTGCTGCACATACAACTCTGGTTGCTTCTCCCCTCACATCTTTCCTTGTAAGTTTACTCTTCTTGATTTTAATTCTTGTTCATATTATGTTTATGGTTTAACGGTAAACCCGGAAAAAACCGTCATATCGAATATTTTGTTGTTATTAATTCCCTCATGTCTCTCTAAATACTCTCTTTCCGATTCTCTTAGCCTATCTCTTACATTCCTAGTTCTTTCAAGCACTTCATATTATATCCCTTATACAAAAAGGAAAAGAAAAAAAAAAGAAAAGAGAGAGCTGCTGCTGCACATACAACTCTGGTTGCTTCTCCTCTCACATCTTGATGGGTTTTGAGCATTCTAACACTCCTATGGTGTACATGCAACCCTAGAAACCTTGGATCTATGTTTGACTAAGATACATGCAAATAATTATTTTTCCAAGGTTCTTATCCTAACTAGCATGGCATGGGATACTTGAATCAAATAAAACTAGTAGAATTACTTACCTTGTAGTAGTAGTTGATTGTTTGGAGTTTGAGAGCCTAGCACCAATAATGTGGATGCCTCAAATGGAAGTCACAAATCACCACAAACTTGGAAACTTGAGAGAATAGTCACAAACTTCTTGAAATCGGCCCTCTTGGTTTTCACACATCAACTAGTCCCATTTCAAGAACCAAAGCCTCCTTTATATAGTGTGGTGGATTAGGGTTAGATCCATGTAAACCCTAATACCCATGTCTTTTCATTTCCATGAGATCCATGGGTTAAAGCTCCATGGAGTATCCATGGACTTTCCATGCAAGCCTAGCCCATTCCAAATAAGCATTAGCCCACACTATATAAATACAAGAGCCCATATTTAATTAGTCATACTTTTGATCTCTAAATTAATTCTAAATTAATTATAGATCAATACTAATTAAATAATATGATTTTATATTAATGTATTAGGACTTATAATATATTAATAAATCATAACTTATACTATTCTCAAACGATTATCCATAAATTGTTCGGGTGAAGTGCAACCCAAATGGACCATGCCGGGTCGGGTCAAGTACATACCAAATATAGTTATGGACTTAGACACTATATCCAACAGTCTCCCACTTGGATAAGTCTAATAACTATAGTTGCAAGTATGACTTCAGGAACCGATCAGCAATCGTAGCTCTTTAAACTCTGTTGAACTATGAAGCGCCATTTTAGATAAGTGATCATATAATCCTCTGTTCTAGATATCAGCCGGACAAATACATGGAACATGGTCTTGCTTATTGTCCAGCATTTGTTTCCCGATTTCCGATTTGTTTGACATAGAACTTAACTGAACACATCAATTTAGTTCTGACCGGGCCCAGTACATAGGTCAAAACAAAATCATCGAGGGGCCCATATATCGCTTCTAATCCTAGAAGGAACAGATAAACTTCGACTCATATGTTTGCTCTACTACTTGTTGAACTACACACAAAAGCACGGTTTATAACATCGAGTTACCAATGCGTTTTCGTGGAATCAATGCATAACCAACTCATAGGCAACAAATCATATCTCTAGGTTTGAAGACTTATATGATATTACCGTCTCACGATCACTCGAGATAAATTCCATGAAGTGATACAAGTGAGCGTGGGTTGAATCCAATACTCAGAACTTATGAGCACTCATGAGTGCTGTAGCCCCGCTTTGTCTAACATCTTAGACCTCTACAAGCCAACCCATGACAGTCTTGATTCATATCTACTTCCAACATATGACCGACTGTGGAGAGTTTGAATAATATGATATAAACCACAACATAATTATTCTGGAAGTCAAAACATGCAAAAAGAAATAATAGTAAACGATTGACAAGAGATAGCAACACTTTACTCATAAATAACAGCTTTTATTTATCATCAAATGTCAATTACATTTTACAAATTTCAAGATTATCTAACTACTAAAACTAATATCATCCTTCAGCCCTATGCTCCGAGCATGCTGGAGATGCTTAGCCCGAGTCAGTCACTTTGTGAGAGGATCTGTTGGGTTCTCATCCGATGATACCCTCTTTGCCACGAGGATTCCTTCTTCTATTCAATGTATGATGAAGTGATATAATCTGTCAATGTGTCTGGATATCACATGATCTCTTGGTTCCTTGGCTAAGACAACCGCACTATTGCTGTCACAGAAAATCTCCATTGGCTCCTTTATAGCTGGTACAACTCCAAGGTCTCCGATGAAGTTCTTTAGCCATATAGCCTCCTTTGCTGCTATATACTCTGATTCACAAGTGGAATCAGCCACTGTCTCCTGCTTGGAACTTTTCCAAGTAATTGCCCCTCCGTTTAGAGTAAAGACCCAGCCCGACTGAGAGCGGAAATTATCCCTGTCAGTCTGAAAGCTAGCATCACTGTACCCTACAACTCTCAAGTCCTCACTGCCACCGAGGGTAAGGACCCAGTCCTTAGTCCTCCGTAGGTACTTGAGGATATTTTTACCGCAGTCCAGTGTGCCTTGCCAGGGTTCCCCTGATACCTGCTAACCATGCTCAAAGCAAAGGCTACATCAGGTCGAGTACACGTCATAGCATACATGATCGATCCTACAGCTGAAGCATAAGGTATTCGACTCATTTCTGCTATCTCAGCCTCAGTACTAGGGCTTTGTGTCTTACTCAATCTGGCGTTACTCTGGATGGGTAACTCTCCTTTCTTGGAGTTATGCATGTTGAACCTTTTCAACACTTTGTCCACATAGGTGCTTTGACTAAGTCCAATTAGTCTTTTACTCCTGTTTCTCAAAATCCTTATCCCTAGGATATAGGCAGCTTCTCCAAGGTCCTTCATAGCGAAACACTTCCCAAGCCAGGACTTTACTTCCTGCAGGGTTGGGATGTCATTTCCTATGAGTAGTATGTCATCCACATACAGTACCAAAAAGCTGACTATACTCCCACTAGCCTTGATATAGACACAAGATTCATCTTCACTCCTTGAAAAGCCAAATTCTTTGACTTTCTCATCAAAGCAAAGATTCCATCTGCGAGGTGCCTGTTTTAATCCATAAATGGATTTCTCGAGCTTACACACTCTACTGGGGTACTCTGTACTGACAAAACCCTCTGGCTGAACCATGTAAACATCTTCAGCCAAGTTTCCATTAAGGAAAGCGGTTTTGACATCCATTTGCCATATTTCATAATCATGAAATGCAGCAATGGCTAACAAAACCCTAATAGACTTAATCTTGGCCACTGGTGAAAAGGTCTCATCATAATCAACTCCCGGAGTTTGAGAATAACCCTTTGCAACCAGTCGTGCCTTATAAGTGTGTACATTACCATCCATGTCGGTCTTCTTCTTGAAGATCCATTTGCACCCAACTATCTTACGATCAGGTACATTGTCAACCAAGTTTCAAACTTGATTGTCATACATGGACTGTATCTCGCTATCCATAGCCTCTTTCCATTTAGCAGCCTCAGGGCCTGCCATGGCTTCCGTGTAGCTGTTAGGCTCATCCAGATTTACCAGTGTGTTATCACTGATAAGTGTCTCACCTTCTGCAGTAATATGAAAACCATAATAATGCTCAGGTGCATTCCTAACTCTGGTGGAACGCCTCAGAGGTATAGATTCTTCAGTCGGCTCAACAGGAGTTTCCTCCTCAGGTTGAGGGCTAGGGTTTGAGGTTCCTTCACCACTTGACTCTTGAATTTCCTCAAGGTCAATTTGCCTCCCACTGTCTCCTTGGCTCATGAATTCTCTCTCTCGAAAGAATCCTCTTCTTGCTACAAAGACCACATTATCACTGGGTCTGTAGAAGATGTAACCAAAGGATTTCTGTGGGTAGCCGATGAAAATACACCTTTCGCTTCGGGGTTCGAGCTTATCGTGAGTCTCGCGTCTCACGAAAGCCTCGCAACCCCAAATCTTGATGTGGTCTAGATTGGGAACTTTTCCAGTCCACACCTCGTGAGGTGTTTTGGCAACCTTCTTTGTAGGGACTAGATTAAGGATATGGGCGGCAGTCTCTAAGGCATACCCCCAAAATGAGATTGGTAGCGAAGCTCGACTCATCATGGAACGAACCATGTCCAACAAGGTCCGATTGCGCCTCTCAGCTACACCATTCAACTGTGGTGTCCTAGGAGGTGTCAATTGTGAGACAATCCCACATTCCTTAAGATAGTCAAGGAACTCAGTACTAAGATACTCACCACCACGATCGGATCGAAGCATCTTAATGTTCCTGCCCAACTGATTCTCCACTTCTTGCTTAAACTCTTTGAATTTCTCAAAGGTTTCTGACTTATGCTTGATTAGGTAGACATATCCATATCTACTAAAATCATCAGTAAAAGTCACTAGAACCGATTAGCATCTCTTGTGGCGGTTCTGAAGGGTCCACACACATCCGTGTGT